GGCATTCACTAACCACCAATGTAATGTGATCAAAAGATAGCGTTAAAACCAAAAACTCTATCAAAGATCTGTCTGTCGTAGGTAAGTAATGCTGAATATGTGACTCTAGGGAAAAGACATACGTCCACAAAGGTTTATTACATACAAAATAAAGAGGATTAATACAAAACAGACTGATTTAGTAACAAATTTTAGGCCAAGGATTAAAGTAATTCTTGGACTAGGACCGTCAATCTCAACATTAAAGAGGTTAGAATAGAGCAGGCTTTCTCAAACCTTCGGATCCACGAATCTCCGTAAAAGATACCAGGTGACCCCTCTCCCTTTCCTCATAATAAAATTGATTGTAGAGGAAAAATAGTTTTTATTTAAAGGACAGTAACAAATACAGTGACTAAAGAAATATCTATTTAATGATAATGTAAAAAAAATGATAAAGCTTTGTTTTTTGTCACAAATTTTAGGAGAAAATTGGAATAACTTTACCTTCATCGTCAAGTCACTATCATATAAATCTCAAATCAACTGGCGAAGCGTTAGGGGTTCGCGTATCTCGCATTGAGAAACCCTGGATTTTGCGGAGTTGTATAAAGTCGTGACGTTCAAGAGTAAAAAGAGAAAAATATATTCTAAATTAACAGATAATTCATAAAAATAACGGTAATAAGTGAAAACTATACATACGAGAACACTGTTAATATAAAAGATCAAAATATTTAATATAATTTATATTCATTAAAAAAAAAGAGATATAAGTGATACTTTACTCGTTTTTATTTTAAGTGTTGAAATGAAAATGCCAAAGCAAAGATGTAATTTTAATTTATTAGACGCTATTTTGCTACAAAATTATTTGACAGACGATGGTGTAACTAAGGTAACTCCGAGCCACAGAGCCTTGACACGCCCCATCTAAGTAGTAAATATAAGCAACAAAGGTTGAACTTTCGGTATTTTAGGATTCCATTCCATGAGAATTTTGGGCGTGGCAAAGATTAGTGAGTCTCACTCTATTTGGATGTTATTTGTTATGCTTCAATAGAATTTTTATTGTTGAACATTTTTGTTTTTGTTAAAATAACAATAGATAAATTATCATAAAGATTGAAACTTTTCATTTATAAGATTTTAATGTTTATGTGTATACCTTTAGATTTCAAAACATCTCACGTGCAACATGTAATTGATAGGAAAACCTTGGTAATAAAACTAACTCTTTAATATGCTTTTTAAATGTCAAGGAATATGAACACTTAGAAAATCTATGAGTACGCACGTTCAAGTGCAGATAAATAGACATATAGATATCGAAGATGCTTTTTGTTGTAGAAGAAGTCACAACTGGAGATTTCCAGGTCGATCACACCGAATATTGGATGTATGGTGTGCGTTTATATCAGAACACAAACCAAAAATATACGTTCGGTTTTAACGCAGGAAGCACTGAGACAACACTCCTTCCACCATGTAATAACAGATCGTCAAAATATCATCAAAACCTCGTAATTTTTTTTATAGAGCATCTATAAATATGTGCTACTAATACAAGAATAATAACCGTTGAAAATCACTACAAAATAATGTACAATGCCTACAAATTTCAAACATACAATTTATCGACACTTGCAACAAATGATGACGCTGAACTGTAGAAGGCATCATTTTCTCTTCCACGTATGGCTGAATTCACCGCTAACACATAGTCAAGGCAATTTGTTTCCACATCAGGTGTTGGGATATTGCGATTCCATGGAAATAACTTTAAGGGATTCGAGCCGGAACCACTTATTTTATCAGATCGGCTTATAAAAACCTTAAAGAATAATATTAGTAGTCTCTAAATGTTTACTGGCTCATGAATCATAGAGTACATGTGTTGATTTTTATTAATTATTAATAAGTTCTGGCTCTAATAAAATATCAAAGGGCCAATGGTTACGAATCGGATATATAGAGTCAATTCTATGCTTGTAATAATATATGTCGCGTTCAATATGGTACAGTGGAAACTTGTCGTTTGGTCTTATTATTACGTCTCTCCGACTTTGGCTGTCACGTTCCATCTAGCTTTTGTGTTTTACATAAACAAAACTGTTATTAAGTTAAATGTTTGAGAAAATTCAACGATTGTTATACTGTGAGGTAAATTTATAATATCCTCTTGGCGTATGACTTAAATAGAAGCATGGGTAAGATATACGGATAATAACAACATTATGTATATTGCGATATTAGAAAAATGCGAACAAAATCAATCATAATCCAGACGAAATCACGAACGAACAAATACAAAATTCAAACAAAAGATAAATCACAAAGATAAAATAGAATCATTACTATAATTACAACCTTGTATCGAGTGCGAGTATCGCCAGACTGAACTGGCAGCCATGATGGACGGCCAGCAATATTTTTTATTCAATCAAAAATTTTGTGCTCATTAGGTAATTATTAATTTAAACCAAAGATTTGTACTTTGCGCGTTGTACACAATCTATAAGTTGATATAAGACAAATAATATTGATTTTATCACGTGCAGTTCATGTGCATAGTGAATTATTTCGTATAATATTTTATTCGTTCACGTCAAGAATGTCCACGCCTACTATCTGTTATAGCTGATCCTAACTAGCGACTTCCTCAAGGACCGTTCAAACTAGTCGTCCTAGACTATCACGGTCTAGCTGAGTAAAGATTGTCGATATTACATAGTCGGCTAGATTGTATCTACATATATAGATACTTTTTCATTTTCAAATTACTAAATCAAAAATAGCCTGACCTATTCATATACATATACGAGTATAATCACAACTGTAATCAATAGGTACTCGGTATCTGGGTAATCAGCATTGACGTCATAAACTCTTTACCAGTTGATATGGTTTTTCTATTATTCAATACACAATAATCATAACAAAATGATAATATTCCGTTTTGAAACCAATTTTATTACAGAAACAAACCAATAGATATTTTTCATTGTAATGAGCGTTCAATAGTTTTAAACAAAACTTTCCGGAAATAGAAACAACATAAACAACATCATCTTGTTTTATTCCATTATTATTTAAATATACTTCTACTAGTGAGGCAGAAACGTTGTTGAATACAGTTAATTTGGGGAATTTATTGAAGATTTGCAACACCTATGTGGTGAAATGCAGTTAATCTTCATCGATAAAACCGTATCGTATACTGACATATAAAAAGATTATCATGCATTGAAAATCTTTAATGTAAAATTCATTTCAGGGTGCGATTTTGTACGATAAATACCCTGACTCGGGATATTTTTCATCTTTTATAAAAAGCTATAATATGTACAATCTCTGCGATTTTGATGGTTGCTTATGTGTCGTTTTATAAAAGTAACTTTCTTTTTTAACATCTTGAAATTGAATTATTTTTTAATATTATTCATGGCTTAACGATAGCAACACTGAGATTTAAGAGCCAGCGGCGAGTTAGGGAGCCGAACGCCGTTATTAGTTCCGAGACCAACAAACAATGGTGATCTGGGTCGGCGCTGGCCTTTCATTAAATAAGTAATAAACTGTTATACAATCCATATTATAACTTTCTTGCCAGTAATAAAAAGATACACGTATTGTTCATAAATTACTGTAATATTATTTGCTGGTACCATGTATCAAAGAAATTGAATTATGAACGACGGATTGAACAGTTTTAGTAAATTATAATTGTAAACAAATATTATGAGTCCTTTGTTATCTCAACCTTGTTTATTACATTCATTGTTTAAACTATATAAATACAAGCGTTTGCAAATAAAATGCAGATACTTATAACTAAATTAAAAAGCATAATTGCTACGAGTAAAAGTTCCGGGTCATTTAGAAAAACTTCGAATACTCCCAAAGAAAGTTTTGAATTTTTAAGATTAGTTTCAGTTCAGTTTCATTTCACCGCATTTTACCAACAAGTTATTTCAAAGGGCTGTGTTTGATATTCTGGAAGATTTCAATATTGTTGTATTTGATTCCGGAACTGTTGCGCGTCGGTTTGTATGTATAATATTCATTTCAATCATTATCAGTATTGATAGTGACTGCAAGTGGAGTACACATTATAGGTACAATTTTATTGGCATTCATATGAAGTAGTTATCGAAGCGATCAGACAGACCTACCATTAGTTAATACTGACACAATTCTCTACAATCTCTATGTTTAATGTAGTGTGATCAAGGGAAATTGCTGTGTCTGACGACTAAGCGATCTCGTTTGGAAATTAAATATTGGCATATACCTACTTCAACATTAAAACTAAGAGCTAAAGTTATTCCAATCTTTATTGACATAATATAAGGTATGGTAACTTTTAAGACCGAATCTAAGGGTTATTTGATGAGCATTCAATGATTAAAATAGCTGTGTACGTTATACATATTATGACTAATATTGATGCTGTTTTGGTGAATTATTACTTTTATATTTAATTGTTACTATTATTTTATTTTAATTATTTATTAGTTTGTCTTCACACATTTTTCAACCCTATCTATAATATATAAAGCTTAATTAATATTATAAATGTGAAAGTTTATTTGATTGGATGTTTAGATGTTTATCGGTCAATCACGCCGAAACTACTGAACGGATTTTGATGAAATTTGGTACACAGATAGGGTGTTAGCTGACTTAGATAATAGAATACTTTTTATCCCACTAAAAATTTCCCTAGGGTCCACGCGGGCGAAGCCGCGGGCGAAGCCGCTGGCGAAAGCTAGTATTATATAATTATAAGACTGTAATGCTTGTAAGTTAATTAGTTTGATAAGAACTTTATAAGTTTTATTTATTTATTTTATTTACTTTGTTATAACAAGGGCGTAGTACAAAAAGTGTACTCTCAAACAGATTTATCAAAATTATATAATGACAATCAGAGTTCACTAATAAAATCATCGCATATAAATGGATTTCCGATAATTCGTATCAGATCAAGATTATAACAGAATTCCAGCACAACTCACCAGGGTAGAAGTCGTGTGACTTGGACATCTTGACTCTGGCACCGGTGTCCTTTTGCAGCTGCGCGATGGTCTCGCCACCCTTGCCGATGATGGCACCGGCCACCATCGACGGTACGAGCACCTTGAAGTGGTATGTTGGCTCGACTGCTAAGCAAAATACATATGTTAATGATAGTGACAACTTTCCAGAGTACTGTGCTATTATTATTGTTGATTACAAAATTATTGAATCTGTTTACACTATTAATTGATTTAAATCTATATAGAAACTCATACATTAAACTTGCTACAATAAGGACAAAACCAAACACAGTACTCCAAATTTCTGAGAATATAATTATGACGTTTTAAATGAATGAGGTTTTATGTATGATAAATACAAAAAGAAATAAAGAATTTTGTGATATGTGACCAATCGTGAACCATAAAACCCCATAATGTTATATGGAAGTCGAGGCCAGGGAACAAACGCACTACAATTTATAAATAGTTAATGCGTTTGATCACTACTTTACATAATAAATACGAGACATGAGTCAGTGTGAAGTGCATGTTATTTGTATGTCCGTAGACCACACCTTCGGACGCTGTGCTGATGTCAGTTTGGATGGTGGCGGCAAACGTTTGGCCAACGTCGAGGTTATTATACACCAACGTCAATACGTGGTCAGTAGAGATACGTTAATATTTGGCCAATCATCGTATATGGATATTATTCTACACTTAAGCGATAACATAATACGACGAGTTACTGTGATTCACTGAAACGTACGTGCTAGCAATGTTTTGCGCTTTTAAATATAATATTTATAGGTAGTTTAATGGAACATTTACAGTGATTTATTTTATATTTATTTAGTTCTCGATAGAGACGTATAGACGTAGAGAGTCGGTGACTTTTTCTTTGGTGAGAATCGACATGTGATCAGTTCCTTTTTATAGTCAACACAAAATACAGTCAATACATCTCTACTTTCTAGTGTCACCATGCATTCTACAGTTGTTAGTGCCATTTTATAGAAGTCGAACTCCGAAGAACGTCAAGAAGAACACATGAATTTAGATGATGAGGAAATCTCAATACCGGTTTGCCAACGAACCGGTAAACATCGACAAACATTAAAGAAAACCGGTTCAAACAAGACTATAAGTGAAGTAAATCACTAAATCGATACCACTGAGCAAACGATAGCTATAAAAGCAATTATAAATACAACTGAGATATTAAAGAACGCAATTAAAAGCGGACACATTAACCACTGCCCGTATAGTACCTATATAACTAATTTATTTGGAAATACGATAAATTTGGCTTGCGGGAGAATAGAATTATAAATGCAGGACTAATGTTTGAAATCGAGCACGACGCCCACATCGATATGCTTGCTCGTAGTGCGGCCGAACGATGCGTTATTGCACGTGACCTCGTTTTATAATAAACTGTTTTGGTCACCCATCGGCGTAGCAGAAAACAACTCTCAGACAAAATTAGACAACAACATTTATGAAATGTTTTAAAACTATCAAAACGATTTGAAAGAGAAAATAATAGTAATAATAATATAAAAAATGGACTGAAATACGACTCCGCCGACATTGAAGTATTTCGATCGATTTTTATTAAGTTTCACCGTAATGCAAACGGCCATTAGCGGCGCGGATATAGCTAACATGTATTACCTAGACTGCTTCATAGCAACCTGTTATAGATTTGTTTAAATTATATCATGGAGGAATCAATTCGAACCGTGTGACTCACACACCGCCCGTAGGTGAACAATTCATTACACTTATTGAAATAAGTATTTCCTATGGTACACATTAAGGTAATCTGTATCATAGATAGGTCTCCTCGTCGTGTCGTCGTGCCGTGCCGCGAGGGGCCGCCAGTGCGCCACAATGCGCGTAACCTTGCATCGTGCTATGTTTAGCTGAATACTTTATAAAGGCGTAATTACTAACCGACTGATCGCGTAGTCATTTCGCGACCTTCGACTGTGTATTGTTTTCCTTTTTTTTTTTTTGACAAAACCAAGACGTAACAAGAAATCTTTGTTGTGTATAATTTAATAAGAAACTTCGCATCCATTAACAGTTTCGTTTCCAGACATTCTTTGTTATGATAGAGCTAGACGATTCTAACATACTATCAAAAATAGAAAACTTCCGTATACAAGGATGACCCTTCGCACACAACATACATATAAATTATTTAATTGTTAATACATACTTTTATTTCTTGTTTTTTTTTATGTCTATCATTTGCTATTATAATATATGATTTACAATTAAGCAGCGTTATAGGTTGTTTTATCATCATAGTTATCGTAGAAATGCACATTACTAAGAGAAGTCATGCCATCTCCGGGCATATGCAGCTTCGAGCCAATTGGGTCGTGCGCGCATCAAATTAGGTCTCTCCCATGAGATTTGTCAGAACGCCAGATATTTAAATGAGTAGTAGTACCAGTAATCTACATCCCTAATAATGTACAACTATTATATTAGTGATTACAAGTGAAATATTTACTTATTTAGGTGTCAACATAAAAAAAAGTCTGACTCATATTAATATCATAAGCAAATTGTAATATAAAATATTTTTTTTATTAATAAAATTTAATTTTTATTCAAATGAATCCCACAACAACTTGGGTCCGTTTATATTACGAGTTGATCACATCGTTGTTTGAAATTTCCACTCTCACTAACGCCTATATCATTTATTTGTTGCCCCAATTTATCAGATTGTTGTTGATAACAAAAGGAATTAGAAACCTTTAACCCGTCCGATAAACTTTTAATAATATCCCGGGTGGATCAGCTCTGGAAAATTATTCTATCAAACTCATCGAACCGGTTGGATCCACTTTAGAACGATTTCAAATAATATAATCAATGCAAACGTCAATACCTAATAACAAATTGTTCAAACCCGGAATAAAATATTTTCAAGACATTTGAAAACTATGTAATTAAATGGAGATTTAAACGGATAAGGACATACGACAACAGGACATAAGGAAATATCAAAACCCTTTTAACTTTCGTAATGCGATAATTTAAGACAATGGATTTTTAATTATGGGTATATTTTTAATAATAACTTTTCATTTTATCGTTTCTGTAAAATAATCTTTTATATAAAATAAGTTAAAATGCTGGTATTAAATTATAATTGTAGTATTTCTGAAGATCTTATAAAAAGACCAATGACCCATATATTAAAAAAGTATTTAGGTCTATAAAAATCTGTCATTTTCAACACGAAATAATGCTTCACTAATAATGACAGTAGTAATAATAGTAAATTGATAACAGTGTGTCTGTCTGTTTCTAACCGACTGTCCAACTATACAAATACATAGGTATTTTAAAAAGTTGTTGCACAACTTTTTACTGATAATAGTCATATTCTCCGATGTTACCGGCAATATTATAATATACGAAGCTATTTGTCCATCAGTAACTTTAATCAATTGTGGATTTTATTTGTTATAACTTATAACTTCTATTGAATTATTCTTTTAATATGCTTCTAAGAAACGATGAATTTTATTATTCATTTTAATTTCTACGACGTGACCAAAATCTCAAATCAACTGTTGTTTCTACACTGGGATCGTAAACTATTGCCAGAACCACAGACAATACAGAAGAACATTTCGTGGACTCAACACAAACTGCTAAACATCAGTTTAATATAATCATATATAATTTATAATAAACATACGTGAAATATGCTATAATCGTTTGCTTTTTATCTACCTGGAGAGAGGACCCATTTCCTCTCAGGATAAATCCGTGGATATCGGTTAAATAAATCGTGAGCACAAAGCGTGTATCGTCTGCATCAAGTAAACATAAATCAGGCAGGATCGGATCACTCCTCACTGCGACCCGAGGGTTATCTCGCAACACACATACATGTTTTTGTGTGTGTGTACATATACAAACGTGTATAATCATCAAAAACTTATAATATCAATTAGAGATGCGCCGAATAGTGGTTTTACAGAATAACCGAATACCAAATAGTATTCGATTTCACTTTTACTGGCCTTTTTTAATACAAAATTGTTATACCTACAATCGGTGACAGTATGAAACAGCGTATTATTTTATTTTTAAAACACAGAGTTGTGTTGCTGCCAAGGTAAAAGTTGTTAAGTTACTTAACTAATCTACCCCACGAAGTCCTGGCATGTTATAATAGTACACATTATATAAACAGGCAAAATTCACATAAATAGACATTATAACAGAGATATACATAGAACAATATAATAGAAATCAGAAATAAAATAAAAGATAAGCAAAAAAACATAGATATCCTAATATTTATAATTTATTAAACGTAAATCATGGTGCATAAACACCGAGCTCTCAGCCCTCATCGGCAAGAGTATTCTGCATATTTTTTCATATAGGTGGCTTGCTTCCGAATAATCGTTCGCTATATACACGCTATACCACCAGGAGCACTGAGAAACATTTTGGCTAAATAAAAACAATGAAATGGGAAACCGAATTACTCGGCCGAATATCCAGTTCGGTTTAAACCGAATATTATTTAGTATTCGGTTAGTCGGTGAAACCACTATTCAGTGCAACTCATATTATACAGAGGAAAGATTTGGATGCTTATTTGTTGGTATTGGTTAGGCCCCAAAACTATTGGATTGATTATAAAATTCTTTCATCTACAGGAAGCTACATAATACTCGGGGGACATAGGCTATAAGACCGCGGGGAAACCGCTAGTTTGATAGAAATAGGTTCACAATATAAGAACAAATCGATGAACACACCTGATTACAAAAAAAACTACATGCCGTTGAACATAGAATTTCCTAGAAAAATCAAAGAAAATCGAAATCTGAATGAATGAAAAAGACGCAATCTTTTGTTTTTTCGCTGTTAAAAATATATCATCAATATTGAGATGATATCTGATGAAAAACATATTTTGTTTTGTTATAAAAGGAAAATTATTGATTAGAATTCGATAACATTTAAATGGGACCACCTCGGTCCATCAAGCTGTCGAATAAAAAAGAATTTTACATTTTACAAAACATACATAAAAAATACATAGCCGTCAAACATATAACCTCCTTTTCGAGTTTGAAGTCGGTTAAAAA